TTCTTTGTCTCTTGTTTCAGTATTTGTTTTGAAGTCAATTTTGTCTAATATAAGTATTGCTCCCTTGGCTTTCTTTTTCACTTCCATTTGCATGATAAATGTTTTAATATCCCTTTGCTTTCAATCTGCATGTATCTTTAGGTCTGAAATTAGTTTCTTGTAGGCAGCATATAGATGGGTCTTGCTTTTTTATCCATTCTGTCACCCTAGTCTTTTGACTGGAGAGTTTAATCCATTTATATTCAAGGTAATTATTGATAGCTATGTACTTATTGCTATTTTATGACTTCTTTTATGGTTGTGTTTGTAATTCTCTGTTCCTTTTTTCTCTTGCTCTCATCTCTCATGTTTTGCTGGCTTTCTTTAGTGATATACTTAGGTTCCTTTATTTTTTGCATATCTATTAACACTTTTTTATTTGTCATTACCATTTGGTTTCTATCTAACATCTTATGCATGTAACAGTCTATATTACGTTGATGGTCACTTAAGTTTGAACGCACTAAAGTTTTACTTTTTTCTCCCCCATCCCATGTTTTAGGTATATAGTATCATATCGTCATCTTTTTATTTTGTGACTCCCTTGACTGATTTTTATAGATATTGTTGCTTTTGTGCTTCTGACTTTTCTTACTCCTACTTATGGTCTTTCCTTTCCACTCAAAGAATCCCCTTTAACATTTCTTGTAAGTCTGGTTTATCAGTGATAAATTCCTTGAACTTTTGTTTGGGAAACTCTAGCTCTCCTTCCATTCTAAATGATGGCCTTGCTGGATAGAGTATTCTTGACTGCAGGTTTTTCCTTTCAGCACTTTGAATATATCATGCCAATCCCTTCTGAACAGCAATGCTTCTGCTGAAAAATTAACTGAGAGCCTTATGGGGTATTTCTTGCATGTAACTGTTTTCTTTTCTCTTGCTGCTTTAAAAATTCTTTCTTTTTTTTTTTAAGATTTTAATTATTTATTTGACAGAGAGAGCCCAAGCAGCGGGGAACGGCAGAGGCAGAGGGAGAAACAGGCCCCCCGCTGTGTAGGGAGCCTGATGTGGGGCTCAATTCCAGGACCCCGGGATCGTGACCTGAGCTGAAGGCAGCTACTTAGCCGACTGAGCCCCCTTGGCACCCCCAAAAATTCTTTCTTTATTACTACTTTTTTTGCCATTTTAATTGCTATGTGTCTTGGTGTGGGCCTCCTTAGGTTGATTTTGTTGGGGGCTCTCTATGACTATTGGATCTGGATTTCTGTTTTCTTCCCTAGATTCAAGATGTTTTCAGTTATTATTCCTTCAAATAAAATTCTGCCCCCTTTTCTCTCTCTTCTCCTTCTGGGATCTCTATAATGCAAATGTTACTATGCTTGATGGTGTCACTGAGTTCCCTTAATCTAGTCTAACTTTTTATTAATCTTTTTTCCTTCTCTTGTTCAGCATGATTGCTTTCTATTACTCTGCTCTCCAGGTCACTTATCCATTCTTCTCCTTCCTCTTGTCTACTATTTATTCCTGCTAGTATATTTTTATTTCAGTTATTGAGATCTTCATCACTTATTGGCTCTTCTTTACATTTTCTGTCTCTTTGTTGAGGGTATCACTGAGGTCCTCCACTCTTCTCAAGTTCAGTGAGTATCTTTATGACCACAACTTTGAATTCTTTAGCAGGCATATTGCTTATCTCTATTTTGTTTATCTCTCTTGCTGTGATGTTGTCCTGTCCTTTCATTCAGAATATATTCTTCTATCTCTTCATTCTGTCTAACTCTCTGTTGCTATGTGTTCGCAAAGTCAGCTATGTCTCCTGTTCTTGAAAGTAGTGGCTTTATAAAGAAGAGGTCTTATAGTGCCCTGTAGTGCAATGTCCCCTGCTCACCAGAACCTGTAGCTTCCTATGTGTGTTGTGTGTGCCCTACTGTTGTGGCTGAGCTGCATTTGCCTTCAGTCCAGTCATCTGCAATGGCTCTCTTTGCCTGTACTGGTCCAGGGTTTGGTTCCTGTGTTATTAATGGACCAGTCTTAGGCCACCTTGGGCATGAGTTCAGCCAGACCAGGCCTTTGACAGACCTGTGGTCCCATCAAAGTACAGGGCACTCCCCTTGTGCTGTCCCCTAAGAAGCTTTTGTTGGTGGGTGGGGCCTGAGATCAGACCAGATGTCTGCCCCCAGCCCACTGCTGGGACTGCAATCAAACTGGTGTGTTTATTTTCCCCTCTTCCCAGGGTAGGGGGAACTTTGTGGTGGTACTAGCAGTTTGCATACTGTCAGGGCGGTTTGCACACTGCCACACTTGTGGAACCACTGAGGATGGACTCCTGCAGAGGGCAGGTTGGAGAGAGTGGTCTGCCGAAGAGCGTGGGGGCAGGATACGTGGTATTAGAAAGTTTTGCACAAGTCTGCTGTGGGAGGAGACCTGGTGCTGCTTTGGAGAGCTGCAGAGGCTAAGTTGGATGGAGCGAGTCTATAGAAGAGCATGGAGGCAGGACATGTTGTTAGCAAACTAGGTGGAGAGTATTCATGCTGCACTGTTTCCCGCAGGTGTCCGTGTAACTAGACTGGGTGGTGGAGGAGGGAAATGGCACCTACCAGCTCTTTTGTTCTTGGAAAAGTCTCCCAAAGATCCCTGCCCCTTCTGCACATGCTGTTTGGTTAGTAAATAAATCTCCTTCCCATATACTGCAGGCGTTTTTCAAACTACTGCTTCTATGCTGTATCTCAGCAGGACTGTTTGTTATGCTGTCTCTTTAAAGGCAGGGACTCAGTTTCCTATCACCCTCTAGCTCTCCCAGAGCCAACCAGCTGTGTGTTAAGCCCTGCTGACTGTAAAAACTCATGATGTTAAGCCCCTCTGGTTTTTAAAGCCAAATATTATGGGGATTTGTCTTCCCTGAGTGGGTTCTCCTTGCCTACAGTGCCTGGTGTGGGGTCTGTTCCTCTCCATTCTCTGTGCTTGCAGAGTCCCTCCCTCCTGAGGACAGTCCCATGGGTCAGCTTAGTTCCGAACCGAGTCCCTGCCCTTCCTATCATTTTTGATGTGGCCTCATCTTTATGTTCAGTTGTGGAGAGTCAGTTCTGCCAGTCTTCAGGTCATTTTCTGGGTTATTTACACTGATGTGGGTATTATGTAGGTGTATCCATAGAATGAGGTGAATTTAGGATCCTCCTCCTCCCAGAAGTCCCCAAAATATTTTTAAAACTATGTAGCAACAACAAAAAAAACGTTCACATAAAAATCAGCTATAAGCTATTACTATTTTTATGTTTTCTATTTTTATATGCAAATATTGCTTATATTGTGCATAGTTCAGGCATTGAATATAGACATTTTTGTATCATATTCTATCTCTCTAAAAAATTATATTTTCTTTATTCATCTGTCAACAGACACTTAGGTTGTTTCCCTACATTGGTTATTGTGAATATGCTGCAATGAACAAGTGAGTACAGATATCTCTTCAAGGTAATAATTTTGTTTTCTTTGGATATATACCCAGAAGTGAGATTGCTGGATCATATGGTAGTTCCGTTTTTAGTTTCTCAAGGAACCTCCATATTGTTTTCCATTGTGACTGAAATAATTTACATTTCTACCAACATTGTGCAAGCATTCCAACATGGGGTAATTTGAGCATCAGAAAAAGGGGATCAAAATACATATATGCTAAAATATATAGGTTCACAATGAGAATCCCCCCCAAAAATTCTTTGGTCATTTTTGGAGGATGCTAGAGAACCAACTCATTATTATGTGCAGAAAACTGGTAAGTAAAGGGAAAGAATAAAGCATATATCTTGCCTTTCCTTTAAAACTGTGCCTCAAGGTAGCCAAATAGTTAATGAGGAATGTTCTCCTTTACTGGAGAATTTCAGCTAATAAATGTAGAGGAAATAATAGAATCAGACTCTCACTTGTAGCCTACAATAAAACAATGATTCTAGGCAATTGTTGCTAAAACCAGTGACTGAAGGGTTAATGGAGAACTCAGAATGGACAATGTGGCTGACAAAATCTGACCTCACTGATCAATCTTAACACCACAAAAGAGATTCAGCCAGATGTTGTGATGGAACAGGAAAGAAACAGAAGATTCTTACCTGAATGAAATCAAACCACTAAACCAAACAACCAGTATAGAGGAAAAAAAGAGTTAGGAAAATAAATAAATATGTAGGTTAAAAGCAGGTATTTTGGTTTAAATGAACACTAGAGCATAAATCAGAAAAACTAAACTTTGGTTCAGGATTTCAACATAAACTAGATGTGTAATGTTGGACAAGTTATTTAATATCTCTGGGCTTCTGTATCATCTGTAAATCATTGTATATACTTTGTTAAATACATTAATTATCTTCTTATAGGAAATCATCATTCTTCCAAATCATTTGATTTTATGGTTTTTTTCCTTTTGGAATATCAGTAAATTTTACAGAAATATAAAATTGCAGAATTAGTGGATAATTAGAATAAGTATTGGAAAAAAAGTTTTTTTCTTTCTTTCTGAAATTTTTACTAAACACCCTCAAACTGTATTACTAAGCTTTAAAGAAGTATATGAACTCAGTGAACTTAATTTTTTTACATGGAGAACTTCCTTCTTTTTTAGACTACATAGATATGCATGTTTTCACTAGCATTTGGAATTTCTTTTACTTTCTATATATGACATTAAATTGTCATAACTTAGAATATTAACTTAAATATAACTTAGAAATACAAGAAAAAAGAATAATATGGAGAAAATAAAAAGTAACAAATTAATATTATTTTTTCAAAATAATTGCAGTGTTTCTATGCAATAATAGAAAAAGCAGAAATTTCTTAATGACATAGATATGTGTCTATTTAAATGCTGACAAATGAATTTGGGGATTGAAAATTATATTTTGCTTCCTTTAATCTTCCATCCCCCACTTCATATAAATAGCTTTTGATTTCTCTCTCTCTCTCTCTTTTTTTTTTTTTAGTGTGCTTTTTTATGTACCTTACCCTCATAGTTTAAACTACTACTGAATGTTCATGGAATTAAGCCATTGGAGTCATTTGGCTTTAGCTTCCTCATTAGATTCTTCATGTCCCTGGCTTCAGTCTTTGCATATAAACACATTTGTTATTCTTAATCACTTCCTTTTATCAATCCCTTACTAGAGCATACTGCTTAATCTTTGAAAATCCACATTTGTATTTTACAAAAATGGAAAATTCAGACTTCTGCTGTGTGTGACACACCATTAACGGCACAAAGACACTCTGTATCTGCTATGTTAGTATTTACTGATGTGTTAATGTAATAATGACCCATCTGCTTCTGCTGTCTGTGAGGTACTTTCTATCTATAGGGATGGAAATTAATGACAGTCTCTCTGAGATGCCTGATGTCAGAGCTGGGAAAGGTGTGAAGCATATATAAGAGCTGGATTACTCATTGGCAAGTGGGGGACAAATACTCTAGTGGATGCAAGCTTGGGATTGTTCATGAAGCTTTCTTACCATTAGAGACATTCTCTGATTTTGCTGACACTGAAACATTAAAAGGTAAAGAGTTTCCTGTTTATGGGAAAATATTATTTGTTTAGGGAAGAGCAGATTTGGGATTAAACATATAGCTTATTTCAAAGAAAGGCTAAAGGGATAAAATGGTATAATAACAACTTTCCAGACTGTTTAGAGAAGGAAATTGGGAAAGTGAAAATTTTAAAATATTTGAAAATTGTTTGAGCAGTATCAAGGGACTATATCAATAAAATTACTATCTTTGGAGATTATGTTTAAAAAGAGATTTTTTTACAGTAGGTTCTAGTCTCAAATTCCATCAATCAGAGCTATAAAAAATTTCTTGATTTCAATGCTGAATTATTCTTTTCAGAAAATTTGAGAAGCAATGTGCCTCCTGAAGCTGCCGGTAGTTCTCATTGTAATCTCAGTTGCATTAAACCATATGAAAGCTACTCCTATTAAAAGGTTAGTATCTTAAAAATCTTGTTTTCTTTTGTAAAATGTGGGAAAATTAGAATTAAAAACTGCTGTATAATTAACAGCCCTTATGCCAATAGATGGATCTTTCTGACAGAATTTCTGACAGACAGGAATGGATATAGTTCCAGTTTTGTCAAGAAATATGATCTTGGAACCTAGAGGGGCAAAACCAGAATACAAAGCAGGAAAAGCCAAAGGGTAGTAATTTCCACTATATTAACCTGATTCTCAAATAAACTAGAGAAACTTAAAACATATATTCTATATCAGGTGGGATTTTATTGTATATTTACATAGTTTTTTTTGTCTTAAGAGGGCTCTGGCAATATCCAAAACTATTACATCTCCTTCTGGAAATTGAAATACACAGAAATAATCAGGGAGCAAGTTAAAATTTTTAAGAACTAGTTTAAAAGCCATTTGCTCCTAGGGGATTATTTCTATATTGTTAACTATTCTATTAATGAAATAGAATTATTAAAAAATATGTTCTTCATGAAATTACTTCTGAGCTGATCTAAATGTAAATTTATACTTCTTAAAAATGTTTTCAATAGGTAGCATGTGCATCAGAATTTCCTAAGAAGGTTTATTTCAAAACGTGTCATGTCATTTAAGTGAATTTTTTAAGGAAGTCTAAAAACTTGTCAGGCGAAAATGTTAGCAGTAATTACAACTTTCAAGGGGAAAGAACTGTAATTCTCCATTTATTTAAAAGATTCTCAAGTCCAAATTCATCATATGTCGTAAACAATATAATTGAGGATTTGTTTGTGCCTAAATCAGTTTGACTCCTTATAGTCTTGTAGAACTGAACTTACACACTCTTTAAGACTGAGTAGTATTAAGGTTACTTTTGAAAAGAGTTTGCTTTGGGGCGCCTGGGTGGCTCAGTCATTAAGTGTCTGCCTTTGGCTCAGGTCATGATCCCAGGGTCCTGGGATCGAGCCCATCATCGGGCTCCCTGCTCAGTGGGAAGCCTGCTTCTCCCTCTCCCACTCCCCTGCTTGTGTTCCTGCTCTCGCTATCTCTCTCTGTCAAATAAATAAAATAATAAAAAAAAACAAGAAAAGAAAAGAGTTTGCTTCAGGTCACATTAAAACTTTTCTTGTAGAATTATTAGTGTCTTGTCTATTTTCCTTTGAGGTGTTTTTTTGTTGAGGTGGCAGTCTGTGGTGATATGTAAAGGGTTCTACAGCACCCACGTGTAATAAATAACAGGAATCCTCAGATTTCTTTTGTCCTTTCAGGCTTATTGAATTTACAGGATGTTCTTCTCAGAATTAACTCTAATTTTCAATTGGATTTTTGTGGGTAAAAATAAGTGAAACTGACATGAAGTTTCTGATAAACCAGCAGAATAATAGAATAACAGGAAAATAGCAGTATTACCTAGTATTTCTGTCTATATCTTGATTTTTTTTTCTTTCATTAGATATAGACATTTGATAAGCACATTTATCCAGTATGTCTTTATGGATATGAGTTTATTATGAGGTGAACTTCACTCATAAATAAAATAGTATATAACATTATTTATTTTCAAGTTATTTTCATGTTAGTCTCACAATCTCTTAATTTGAATCTTTATTAGAAATACTTCCAAAGCATTCTTCAAATTACTCTTTAATGAATTTCCAGAAACCAGTACGTCTGATCATTTTTTTTAAAGGGGGAGAATTTATCATCCTGAGCTGTTCAACCATGTAATATTCTATACATCTCATAAAAAGCTGTGAAAGCTTATGTAGAAAATGACTCAAATCTCACACACTTTTAAAAGACAAAGCTGATATAGATTTATCAATGTCATTTTTCTTATAAAATTTAATCACCTCATTTGAGATCTTTTTTAACTTCTATGTCTGTATGAGATGAGATTAAGAGGCAACAAAATGACTTTACAAACAATCCCCAAAAATATTTTATACTCTTGACTGAGGCAAAAGGATTACACACTTGCCCACCAACTTTTAAACACTCAGTAAATTTCTGCCTAGCAGATAATCAGAGGTTAACCAATAGTATAATTACTTCCACAAATGAATATTGAGAACTGGAGCAGGGATACAGTTTAAAACTGTTTTTAAAAATCTTTGAGGGGCACCCGCGTGGCACAGTCGGTTCTTCCGCTCAGGTCGTGGTCTCAGAGTCATGAGATCAAGCCCCTCAACAGGCTTGGTCCTCAGCACAGAGTCTGCTTGAGATTCTCTCTTCCTCTCCCTCTGCCTCTCTCGCTCTTGCTCTCTCTCTGTCTAAAATAAATCTTTAAAAGCCCTTGAAACTGAGATGTTTTTAAAGAGAGATAATATAAGAGTGATTCTTCAGTCTATAGTCGTCACTATTTAAACTCTTAAAGTTAGGAATTTGTGCATGTGTGTAGGTGGTCAATGGATTTGAACTAGCGTCTGTCACTAGATGCTAGGCAGGGCTTGTCTGCCCAAGTAGTTAAAGAGAAAGAAAAAATGGAATGATGGCTCTTCTAGCTAACTCAAATAAGATATCATTTTAGTTGGAATAATTTTAAGTATTGTTACAGACCTTGAGACCAATTATCAAAGTACTACTCAGACATTTAACACATAGATTAGTTCACACTCTGCTCCAGGCATTTGCAAAATATATCTTGGGACAGATATCACTTCGAACCTTCCCAATTTGGCCCATTATTTCCTTTATTGCTTTAAACTTATTATTTTGAAGTGTTTGGGTCAAATTCTAATTTCTGCTTTTTTCAAGAAAAGCTTATTCTCTTTTAGAATTAAATGATTTATGAATTATTGGTTTAATTCTTAAAAAGCATTAAGTCATTCTTTGGAAATGTACATTGGCCATGCTTACTACACATGCAAAGAGAAATAAATAAATAATATGACTAATATTGACATAATAGACCAGGTAATTAGGTCCCAAAGTGGCTTTCCTTTGCCTGAATAATAGGTTTGTCAGCATACACTTATATTCAACAATACCAAGTTTACCTGATGCCATAAGAATTTTCTATATTTGGAAGAATATATGAGTGTAAAAACCCTAAAGATTTACATGAGGTTTAAAAACACTTACTCTTAGGCTATCCCTATAGAGAGATATAGACAATGAAGTATTCCCCATACAAAGCAAACACATTGAGATCAAATCTATTGCATTTTGCCCCAAATTATGTATAACAACTTGCTTCTGAACGTAGCTTCATATCTATATCTCTTTCCCAATTTACACTTATCCTAAGTTTTACTAATATTTCGATTTCCATGGAGCTGAAAGCTAAAACATTTCCCTAGTTTTCCTAATCATCTGCAAAAAAGGGAAGCATGTTATTATTCTGTATCCATTTCTAATACCATTTTGAGAGCACACTGGAACAAAGGGTGGTACAAAAATATAGAGTTGACATAAATTCTGAAATATAGAATTTATATATATATATATATAGCTTATATATATATAGAAACAAGAGTTAACATTCTAATGAATTACTTAAACATAGTGATAATTTCTGACTTACCTGGAATATTATTATGCAATTGTTCCAGATTGCTGAAAGAATGTGGTGAATAGTAATACTATTAACATAAAAGTCTTTTGTTTTTAACATTCAACATAGTCCTATCATTAAAATTGTTAAAAAGAACCAAACGGGCAGAAGAAAGATAGTAATGCTCATGTATTTATGCTAAGAGTAATAGAACTCCCAATCTACAACAGTGAAAGTGCGTGAACCAGTGATAAATTTGATTCCCCTTGAGCATTAGTAGTACCTGGCGTTTCTCTCTTAACACCCCTGATTTAATGATCTCAGGGAACTTAACAAAAATATCTTACACTGCTTAATTTTCATTGGAAAGTTGTGGGAAATAAATATATATATATTTAATTCCACATATTCCAGATTACATATAAATTTTATATTCTAAATCCTCTTTATATATTGGGAACTAGATTTATCAAGATTTAGAAGAATAAAAGAAGATTTCAAAGAATGTAAGACAAAGACACGCTTTTTTATTATTATTACTATCTGGAATAAATGCTGAAGTTTCCAAGGATCATAATGAGAAATTCAACATTGACTATAATGGATGTTTTGTTATATGATGTCCCAGACAAAAATTGCTTCTGCTGCATCTTCAAGGTGTCAAAAAATCTTGGTCATCCAGACGTTTCCAAACCAAAACGTTGAGTTACTTACTTGAAAATGTTTCCTTTAGTTTTCATCAATATGGGATATCTGTTGTCCTATAGAAGTATGGGTTAGCCTGGTGATGGGTATTAAAGAGGGCAGGTATTGAATGGAGCACTGGGTGTTACACGCAAACAATGAATCATGGAACGCTCCATCAAAAACTAATGATGTAAGGTATGGTGATTAACATAACATAATAAAAATTAAAAAAAAAAAAAAGGAGTATCCAATCCTGAGTTTAAGGCTCTAACTTTCCCTATTTGTTCCATGTCACCAGTCACCAGATGGAAAAGCGGAAATGCAACACTGCCACATGTGCAACTCAACGTTTGGCAAATTTCTTAGTTCGTTCCAGCAACAATCTTGGTGCCATTCTCTCGCCTACCAATGTGGGATCCAATACATATGGCAAGAGGAGCACAGCTGAGATTTTAAACAGGAGACCATTGAATTACTTACCCCTTTAGAGGTCAATGTATCTCTACAGTTCTTATTGTTTCATGTATAAATATCCTAGTGACTTCCCGTGTAATTTAACATTAGCATGAACATGAGTTTTTATGTCCCATGTTTATTGCCAGTACATATAAATTGTCATGGTAAGAATTGTCTTAAATTTAATGCTAATTAAGATCCCATAATAAAAAAGTCAATGTCTTTAAAATGAAGGGTTCTTGCTATCAATTTTTATTTTAAAAACATATTAAAAAGTCATTCTTTTGCCTGTATCTTTATGACCTGAGTTTGAGAACAAAGGAGAAAATGCTGGGCGCCTGGGTGGCTCAATCATTAAGCGTCTGCCTT